AGTTAGGGCCGCTGAGACGGGCCTGGGATGCCAGCGGGGCAGTGCTGGAGTTAGGGCCGCTGAGACGGGCCTGGGATGCCGGTGGGGCCAGTCCCCTCCACAGGAGGGTGCCTGTTGGAGACAGCCCAGTTTTGGCCACTAACAAGGAGGCCGTGTGATAACTTGTACACCTGTCAGAGATTGGCTTCTGCTCTCTGTCCAGCCGCCCTGTCTGGCACAGGCTGTCAGTGTCCTCTGTGCTTCTCCGACAGCCCCAAAACTCCCACACACCGCACCCCACTTGGAGGAGACACTGGCCCAGAGGGGACAGAGGGGCCGCACTACCTACTGGTAGTCAGCCTTCTTCTCAGAGAAGACACGGACGCAGAAGTCACCATCCTTGTGGGGCTCGAAGGTGGACGGCACGAGGATGTACTCCCCTGGGGGCAGCCGGAAGCGGTTGAGCACCTCTCTCAGGTTGATGAAGGTGTCGGAGCGCTCACGGGCACGAGTCGTCAGGAAGAAATTCCTTCCCAGGTGGATGTTGGTTTGCCCGGCCATCTGAGGGGCAAGCACAGAAGGGCTCAGGGTGAACGCATCCCAGCCACATGTGGGGTCCTGCGGGTGGGGAAACTGAGTCCCTGGGCAGGAAGGGCCCAGCGGTCCAGCCCGGGGAGCCAAGGCCCTGCCCTTGGGAGCAGCGCAGCTGCCAGCACCCACTTGCAGCTGTTAACCCTAACTACAACCTCCTCCGGCCTGGTGCAACTGGCTGCAGCGTTGGCAGATGGAGAGGTCACGTAGCTGGGAGCTGTGCCTGCCTCCACACGGGGCCTGCGACAAGCTCTCTGCAGCAGATCCTAGGCATCAAGAACTGGGCCCTGCCTGGCCCTCAGTCTGGGGAGGATAGAGCCTCTCGAGGCCTCCTGGCCCTGAGCTGAGAGTGGGATCTGAGCCTGGCAGCGTCAGCAGCTCCGAGGTTGGGGCGAGGCTCATGCCCTGGAGCCCTGGCCCTTGGGCCCCAGTACTCCCTGAGCTCTGCAGTACGAGCCTCCCAGCACAGGCAGCCCTGAGCTCTGGGAGGCTGAAGACGGCAGACGCACCTCCTCTGGAACCTGTGAAGGAAAGGGTAGCACTCAGATCTGGGGAGCAGCGCTGGTCACCGCCCTCTGCAGCATCCCCACCCCCACCCACAACAGGGTGGTTCCAGCCTCCCAGGCAGGATGGGGGTGGCCCCACCCACTCCCAGGGCACAGGATGAAGGGCCACCATTGGCCACCAGTGTGCTGGAGACCAGCGCTGACAGCAGGAGCCCTGCTCAGAGGCATCTGTCATTTCTACAGTGTCACGACCCTGTGCTGGCCTCGGGCCAAGGGGACTTCCCCGAACACAGGCAGCAGCTTGCGGGACCTGGAGGAGCTGTCTGCAGCCCTCAGTGGGGTTCCCCTGAGGAAGCAAGACGCACTCTTTGGCTCCCCTGAGGCCTGGCCGCTCTGCTCCCCTCCTCAGTGACACAACCAAGGCCATGAGCATGGGGAAGGCACAAGGTCCTGCCCTCTGGCGGCTAGCCAGACAGGCTGTGTGGTGCTCTGCTCCGGCTGCCCATGAGAAGTGGGTTACAGTCAGCAGGCCTGCAGACGTGTCCCTTGCTGTGTCCTGAACATGGCCTGGGGCCAGCAGTGACCTGCTGGGCTCTGACCACTGCCTGTGGCTCTACCCAGCGCACACAGCACTCTCGTGTGCCTAGGGCTTCGCTCTTGGCTCAGTAACTCTGGGGTCTGCAACTTGGGCTGACCACGAAGGGGAACATGGAGAGGACGGGGAGGGGCACTCCAGAGAACTCCAAGTCTGCTGGGGTTCAGCAAGGGTCCAGGGCCTGGGATGCAGCGAGGACTCATGTGTGACCTCCTGGGACACCATGGCTTTGCTCTGTACACCTAAGCTCCTGGCCACTGCCCCACCCTGGCTACTGGGAAGGGGAGCAGGCAGCACAGCCCCCGCCTACCTCGTAGATGCCGAAGCCGATGGTGTGCATGTCCTGGCCCATCTTCCTCTGCCGCCGCCGGTGCTTCTGGATGAGGCCCACCAGGAAGGTGCAGCCGCCCTCGCCGTCCTCCTGGTCCTCATCCTCCTCCTCCAGCTTGATCAGGTACTGGGGGTTCATCCAGAAGGTGTCTGCAAGGGGGGAGGGGCACCCTGAGCAGCAGGAGGGGTGGGCCAGGGGAGTGAGGGCACCAGCGGTGGGCACTGGCTGGCACCAACATGGCAGAGTCCTGCAGTGGGACTTCCTGCAGCCTAGGATCTGCACCTGCTCAATCTGGATTCTGTTGTTTTCTTTTTAATGTATTTGGTACAGGGTCTCACTATGTAGCTCAAACTCATAGTGATCCTCCTGTTTCAGCCTCCCCAGCACTGGGATTACAGGCGTGCACCACCCTGCCCAGACTCGGTGGCAGGTTCAGTGTGCCTGGGGGCAGGGCTGGCACATCTTGTGGTGCCAGGGATGGAAGTCCAGTCCCTGCTCTTGCCTAGGCAGATGCTTAGTCTGCTGAGCTAGCGCACTGGCCCCAAGCCGGGTTCTTGAGGCTGGAGCTCCTCCTAGCGGAGCCCCGTGGGAGCTGCTCGTATCACAGGCCTCTGGGGCACCTCTGGAACCCCCACTTGGGGGCTGCCATGTTTCTCAGCTGGAGGCACAGCCAGCTGGTCCCAGACCCCATGCTCTGTGGGCCCAGTGCACCACTAGTGCCCCAGTGCATCAGTAGCAGAGCCAGCACCGACTGTGGCCCGTCACCCACTCACAGTGACCCTGCCACCCCAGTGGCTGTGTGGCCTTGGGCATCACTGATTCACTCTGGACCTCTGGCCACACGTTGTGGAGATGCGGGAGACTTGGAGGGGTTTGCTGGGACGAGGGGTGTGGACTCACGTGGAGCGCTCAGGACACTCCACCATCAGCAGTGTCACCAGGAGCCGTGGGGGTCAACAAGCCGGACAGAAGGAGACCTTCTGCCCCAGCCACGCCTGCCTCCCACCCAGGGTGCACAGAGGCTGCAGTGGCTCCCACTCACGGTGCTGCAAGTCCTGTGGCCACCTAGGCTTCAGCCGGATGGAGGAGTTCAGCAAGCAGGGCAGGCAGGCCCAGGCTCCGACCTCACAGAGTGTCCCAGGAGGTCATGCCCATGGGTGAGGGCCCAGAGCTTGGGAGAAGGGTCCTGGCATGGTGGGCGGGGGCACGGCCGAGGGGGCGGGCTGGGTGGCACTCACTAGGGTAATTCCTGCAGCCGCCCGCGGTGGAGCCGCGCCGCCAGCTCCCGTCCATCTTGGTCAGCTTCCACTTCTTGTAGGTGTCGCTGGTGAGTGTGTCTGGGGTCAGGTTGCAGATCTCCAGGCGGGAGTAGTGTCGCAGGAAATCCCCAAAGGACATCCTGGCAGGGAGGGACCCGTGTGCGGCCCACCTGAAGCTCGGCCCCAGCAGGTCCCCAGCCCTGACCTCTACCCGCGCCGGGCAACCTCACCCGAGGCCCGGGTGGGGGGTCCTGAATCTGCACCCCAGTTCCAGCCTGACATTGCCACACTAACTGAGTGGCTTGAGTGAGGCCTGGGACGTGGCCTGACACTGGGGACAATACAGGGTCCCCACGGAGCTGCAGGAGACCCCAGAGCAGCATAGAAGCTTGCTGAGGGTCACAGCCTCCCACCGTGAGACTGGGTTCCCAGGTGAGGGTGGTTTCTTGAAGCCCTCATAGTGAATTGACGACGAGGGAACCAGGACTTATGTGCCCGTGCCACACCAGGGCGGCCGGCACCACGCCATGTGCCTGCAGACCCAGTACTCTGTGGGGCTGAGACAGAAGGATCCCAAGCTTAACCCCCGGGGCAGTTAGTGACCTAGTGAGACGATCTCAAAACAAGGGACGTGGTGCAAAGGCCCTGGGTCCAAGCCCTAGTACTGTGCGAGCACACACGCACACACAGATACACATACGCAGATGCATGAAGAGAGAAAGAGACGGGGGGAAAAGGAGAGAGAGGTTTAGAGAGAGCTATCAAGCTTGTCTTGAAGCCCGTGGGGCTCCGACCTCTGCCCGCCTTACCAGAACTCCCCGTCCTCAAGCCTCACGGTCAGCCGCTCTCTCACCTCTGGGTCCACTGTGCTCCAGTTTGGACAGCTAGGGGCAGAGCAGAGGGGTAGGCCTTAGGAGGACACACATGGCCCTGGCTTCTGCCCCCAGAGCGAGGGGCGAGGCCACCGTGGCCACTGAGGACCCTGAGCCTGGACAGGCAGTGCCCAGCCGGCTCGAGCCACACGTGAGACGAGCTAAGCACCTGAGGGAGCATGGTGCTGCCCAGGAGCGTGGAAGGGGTGGGCACAGCTCGGGATGGGCGGAAGGGCCTGGGCAACAGCACCTCCGGCACAGGGACTGAGGCAGCCTGAGCTCTTCAAGGCCCCGCAGGGGCTTCCTCCTGATCTCTGCAGCACCAGGAGTCTGGGGAGACCAGGGGGCTGACAGCACCCTGCCGCTTGCTCGGCAACTAACTCACCCGGCCATCCTGGCCTCAGCACCTCTGTAGCTCAGAGGGCTGTCCCAGGAGAAGGCCCCCCAGCTTGGCACCCAGCTCAACACCCAGCTCAGCACCCAGCTCAGCACCCGCTCAGCACCCAGATGAACTCCAGCTCAGTACCCAGCTCAGCACTTGGCACAGCACCCGGCTCAGCACCCAGCTCAGCACTTAGCTCAGCACCTGGCTCAGCACTTAGCTCAGCACCCAGATGATCACCCACCACAGTACCCAGCTCAGCACCCTACTCACTTGTCGTTCCACTTCCCGGTCCACTCCACCTGTCCCCAGGGGTTTCGGACTCGGATTAGTTTCTGCAGGCTCCCTGCACTTTCCACCTGAGCATGGGGTGAGAGAGAGCCCCACGACGGGTCAGTGTACGTGCCACCCATGGGCAGAGGGCAACCTCAGCTAGCAGCAGCCCCGGAGCAGGTCTGGGCAGCTGCCTGCCACACCACACGGTGGGGGCCACCTCCTCCCGCTGTCCGGCCAGGCCTGGCCACGCTTCGCACAGAGCAGCCCTCACGGTGGGCTCTGTGAGCCTAGTTTCGGGATGGAAGTGAAGAAGCCTGCCCAGGCCGCAGTGAGTGGGAGGCCAAGTCCCACGTGGGCCTGGAGGATGCCCTGAGGCTGGCGGGCCTGGACGGTGACAAACACCGCCACAGGCAGAATGCAGGGCACCACTGCAGCTGCACCCACATGACCCCAGCCAGGCCGTACCTCCTCCGCCCCAGTGACAGAGTATGCGTGCCCCTTCACCAGCTTCTGGTAGGTGATGGCCTCCGAGTCCGCTGCACTGGTGATCTGCAAAGGTGACCACGGTCAGCACTGCCGGCCCCTCCCTCCCTGTGAGCCTCCCACCCCACTGCAGCACCACTGGCTCATGGCAGCTAGGGAGGGTGCGCCTCACCCAGGAGGCTACAGTTCATGGGGCTCAGGACAGACATCCCACTCCGGAGCCTCAGCCCAGCCCTGTCCCAAGGAGACACTAGTGTCCTCTGGGCGCCCGAGGAAAGGCAGGGAGCAGGGAGCCTCTGCCTCTACCTGGTCTGCAGGACTCAAGGGTGCCCCAAGGCCACAGAGCTCTGGCGCCAAGCTTATCTGTGTCCCGAAGGGTGAAGGCTCTTGGGCCGGCACGGCCTTTGTCGGGAAGCTGGGGGCACAGAGTCCTGGCTTCCTGCACCCAAAGAGGGCCCAGCTCGGCCCCGGGAGGGAACTTCTTCCTCCAGGGGCTGTTTCCCAAGGCTCAGCAGGCCCAGATAGAGCCAGGAAGCTGTGGCCCGGACACCCCACTGGTGGGAGAAGAGGTCAGTACTGGGGGGGCTGGGCGATGACGGGGCTAGGGCTCCTCACCCCATCACCTGCACCCAGATGATCAGGCTTTTGCCCAGTGACCCCTGGCTCCTGGTGAAGAGCACGTGCTACACCAGGTCCTAAGTCAGGGCAGAGGTCTCGGATTTGCCTGGGGCTCCCTGGACACAGGGCCAGACTGCACAGGGTGCCCCACTCACATCGATGGAGCAGCCAAGCAGCGAGCCCTTCTCCAGGGCCTTCTGGATGATCCTGAACAGGTTGGGTGGCGGCTTCTGCAGCTCGTACCACTCCGCGATGCCTCCCGTGAAGTCCTCGAAGCCCTCGGTGGTGGCACCACCCGACAGGGCTTCATAGCAGCCGTTGATCCTGGGGGTCAGGTGAGGTGCGTCTTCCAGCATCCCTGTAGCTGCCCCCTAGGACCTCATGACCGTCTAGTCCCATGGGAGTCTCCCTGGGTCCTCCCGGCTCAGGGCAGGTCTGCTATCCTGCTGCTTGGCTTTTAGGGCGCAGAGGAGCCACTCGGAGAGGCATGCAGCTGCCACTCACCAGAGCAGGGTGTGGCCAGCATCCTGCATGTGTGATTTGGACCTCAGGTCCAGGGCAGCCCAGCAGGCCTTTCATACAGCTGAGCTCCATCGTAGAAGGGACCTTAAGTAGCCCCTCGGCTTTGGAGTCCAGGGCATTGGGCACAGGGCACAGGCTGGGCGGGCACTCACTTGGCATAGGCCTTCTCGAGCAGCGCACTCCAGAACTCTGTGCCCTCGGCCGAGTGCAGGAACAGCAGCTCCCCGTCCTTGGTGGGCAGCCTGTCGTCCACCACCACCTCCACCCACTCGCCGTACTGCCAGAACTGTGGGCAGACAGCAGGGTTGGGGGCTGAGGCCTGATCCTGGAGGAGACCCCCTGCCCCCACAGCAGCTCTCCCCAAAGAGTAGCAGGTAAGAACTGAGGGCCCCTGTCTGCACTCATATCTGAAGAACATCACCTCACTTCCCAGCTTGACAGAACACCTCTGAAGCTTGAGCTTCAAACACAATCCCACCTTTCCGCTTGGGAAGCTCTTCCTGAGCTCTAGCCTGCCCCACCCTGAGTGTCCCGGGAAGCCTACACGCTTCCTGTGGTCTTGGCATCATCCCAGAGCACAGCTAGTCCTGAGCCTGGCCCGCGTACCTGGAAGCGGAAGATGCCTGCGTAGTTCTCCTGGAAGCTCTGGTCCAGCGGCACAACGCGTGCCAGGATCTCTTCATTCAGGGTGAGGGAGGCGATGGCGGCCAGCAGCCAGCAGTCACCTGTGAACACAGGCAGGTGCCATCACAGGTCATATCGGGGAATATGCTAGCTACGCCTGCCTTAGGGGCTGCAGGCCTAAGGCGACTGTGAGCAGAGGGGCAGCATCTGAGCTCTCCAGGGTGGAGACAAACTAGAGGCTGACAACAAAGCTGCCCCAGGCACAGCTAGGATCCAGGGCCACGGTGTCCAGCTCTGCATAGGGCTGCACTGTCTGTTGTGGGAAGGACCTCACTAAGACTTCTGCACACAGCTGAGAAGGGTTCTGTGCCCAAGAAGGGGGCTTGGGGAAGACTCGAGGAGATGCGGGGCAGCCACACATCATTGGGGTCCTAGGAGTACAAGGCCACCAAGCGCTCAGGCAAGGCCAGGATGATAAGACAGCTGCCCCCAGGCAGCTTGGCCCCTGTGGGTGTGGCTCCTCTACCGACAGCACAGATGAGGTAGGGACAGCATGTGGGTCATGCAGGTGGCCTGGCCTCAGCTCCAGGCACCGTGTTGTCCCCTGTGGGGCACCATGAGGGCGTTTCCTGCATTCCAGGGAATGTACTGGTTCCTAAGCCTTCAAAGTCTGAGACTGTGACAGGAAGGAGCCACAGGTGGGCTAGGCTCACGTTTGTTTATCTTCTGGCCCACAGGCTCGTGAGAGACCCACAGGGCATCAGTCCTTTACTCTCTCCTTCCTACAGGGAGGCCCAAGAGGAGCTGGCCCTGTACAAGCAGAGACGCCAGGGTGAGGCAGGTGCTGGACTTGATGCCTCCCTCCCTGGCAGCAGGAAGCCCAATGCCAAAAGGTCCTCTGCTCCTGCAAGTGGGCACGATCCTCTCACAGACTTCCCAGGGCCGGCCGCTGTCCTGCAACACGAGGAGCCAGCTCTGCATTTTGGCAGTGCTGGCCTGGGTGATCTGCGGGCCCTGCTGCCACACTTCAGGGCCTAAGCCTTGACCCAGCCATCGCTGCCAAGAGCCATCCCCGGGGTGGAGAGAAGGGGCAGTTGCCCTCTGTGTGGACCACAACCAGCCGCACCCATCTGATAACCAAGCTAGCAGATGGACGAGGGGCTGGAGGGGCACTGGTGCCAGGCTGGCAGCAGCGCCACAGCTTCTGACCAAGCCGTGATGAAGCCTGACGTGTACCACACAAGCTCCCAGTTCCCGTGCCTGACTGCAGGGAAGGTCCTAGGGGTTGCCGAGCCTGCCTGAGTGCTGCCACAGCCTCAGCCACACTGGGCTGGCCGTGCGGTCCTTGCCCAGTGGCTCTCCGTGTGCAAGCCTGGTGTAAGGAAAAATCACAGGTGTGTCCAGTGTGCAATGGCCACACAGGCGGGCAAGAAGTCTGCCAGCTGCTGGATCTCAGAGGAGCCTTTTGGGCGGCAAGGCCACTGTACAAGCCAGAGCAGCTGCCACTCGGGAGACAGGCCAGGAAGGAGCAGGCAGTGACCAAGGTGGCCAGGGCTGGGGCGGCAGCGAGAGGCCCCCGATATGGGAGCATGGCTACAGGAGCTCCAGCACCTCCGGCCTTTCCTGCGTGTCCACCCCATCATCTGGTCACATGTGGGGCCTGGGGACAGCTCTCCAGGCCCACACTCCTAGGTGGCGGGAGCCTCCTGCCCTGCTCTGTTCCCTTGCACTGGGTCCTCTGGGACAATGGTCTCTCTTGAGAACTGGGGCCAGGGGTCTCCCTGAGCTTCCCAGAGGCTTCTAGTGGTCAACACACATACTGGGGGTGGAGGAACCAAGGGGCCTAAGGATTGGGATTTGGGCCCCTGGGCCCAGCCAGCTCCTTCTGGCCCCTGTGGGTCCCTGGGGCTTATTTATCAATAGCCATGGGGCAGCCAGCTGCTCTGAAAGCTTAGAGGCCCTGGTGTCCATGCTGCCCACCCAGCCCCTGCTAGGACCTGTCTTCTGTGACTGTCACCTCCACGTCTGGTGCTCGTGCCACTGCCTAGAGGTCACGGCTTTCAGCTCCTCCTCTCTCCGCATCTCAGGAGCAAATACCCCAATATCCACAAGGTCTGGGTCTCTGCTCACCCCACCTGGGAGAGGATGGCTTTCCTCACCCCTTGCTAGTCTGTTTCCTCTACTGGGTCCAAATCCTAGAATGGCCCCTGGGCGACGAAACGGTGGCTCTGGTTAAGCGGCCTGCTGGGGTCCCTGTTGTGGAGCCGCAGAGACTGTGCTTCTTCACATGTTGGGAGACCTCGTGGGTGATGTCTGGGTGATGCGGTGCGGCTGACAAGGACCCTCGTATACATTTTATTCGGCCTGCACATGCATCTTATGGTCACTACCATTGCCTCTGCAGGATGAAGAGACTGAAGCTAGAAAGTCCCTGGCGAGGACACCTCGTGGGTCCCACACTCAGGGACTCTGCATTCTCGCTGGGTCCTGCTTGTGAAGTGTCTCCCTCGATGGCAGTCTCCTCTGGTGCAGGACCTGGTTCCTTTAACTGAAGAGAGACATAGGAGCAGTTCCCGGCGGCAACTCAATTTAAGAGTAAGAGCCTGGCAGCTTCCTCTGGGTCATATGTTTCTTTTTTTTCTTCTTTCTTTGTGGTCTCTCCAAGTTGGTAAGCTAATCAGGCTTGGCTCAAATTGTGATCCTCCTGCCTCAGCCTCCCAGTGCTGGACTACAGGTGTGTGCCACCAGGCCGGGTCCCAGTGCCGTGTGATTCACCTGGACAGCACGCTGATGTCCCTGCACAGCCCTGACAACGGCAGTGAGGCAGGGTACCTGCTGAGCAGACAGGCCAAGCGCTGTTTGCAGGAGCAGCTTCGAGAGGATGCTCTTCACCTCCACCGTCCCAGCGCAGGAGTCAGGAGGAGGGCTGGCGTCTGCTGGAGGGACTCACCAAGTGCCTGTGCTACTTGGGACTCGTGCTGCTCAGCCTTGCCTCCCACCGTGGGACCTTGAAGTCGGGGCACCCTGTGCCCGGCCCCCTCTTCTTCTTTCTCCTGAGCTCCTAAAGCTTCCCGGCTGCAGCAGCTCACTCCAGGGGCGTGTGTGTGCTGGGCCCGGCTTCCCATGTGTTCTTAGGCAGTTAGTTACACGTCACCATCATCAACCAGCTGGGGCAGAGCTCCTGCCACCCCGCCCACAGCCGAGGAGATGGGGCTCAGGGGACTGGGGGCTAACAAAGCCTCTGCCATGTGCTGACAGCTGTCTGCTTGGCAAATGGACACCCATCAACCCCACCCTGTTCAAGGCACTCTGGGCCGTGGAGGGCCGGGCCTCCTGAGGTGCCCAGAAGGGGCACCCCTCTTTTCTGGGCACCTCTCCATCTACTCCCCACTGCAGAAGCCCAAGTCGGCACCAAAACATCAGCTCCTCAGGGAGAGGCCGATGGCCGCACTGGCCCAACTCCCCAAAGCATCACACTCTGCCTCCGGCTTCTGAGGCGCTGCCCGCGGCCTCTCCTTCCTGGATGCTGCCCCCAGCTGGGGTCCAAGTCTCTGACCCAGGCTTTGGCCTCTGGAGTCTGCGAACTCATCCTGTGCCATCCCAGGCTTTGCTTCACCCTACAGGGAGAAGCTGCAGGGCAGGGAGGGGCCCGGCTCTGCCCCATCCTGGTGGCCCTCACCTTCCCACCAGTCCCATCTCTAGCTGGACATGGAGCCAGGTCAGGCCTTCCCCTCCCCTGTGCATGCAGGCTGCAGTACCTCCCACCTGCTCAGGAGCCAGCTGGGGCTGAGGACCCGGTGCTGCAGCTGGGAGGGCTGGGCGCTCTGCATCTCTGAGCCCCAGAGCTGTGTCCCATGGGAGGGCATGGAGGCCTCTGGGCGGCACTGCGTGTGACCCAGCCAGGTCTAGACCCTCCAGCACATGGCAGGTGTCAAGAGAGCTCTGGGGGAGGTGGGGCCGCTGGTCACCAAGGGACTTCCCAGTAAGCGCCTGACTCCTCCTGAGCGCCTCCAGAGCCTTCTACCCTGAGCCCGCCCGCTGACTGCCCCCAGGGTGGAGCCCAGGGCCTGGAAACGCCGGGCTGCTCAGTGAGAGATCTCGAGGTCTCTGAGGGCTCCTGGAAGCCCCCAAATCCAGGCGCCTGTCTCCCCAGGCCAGCCCCCTCCTCCGCCTGCTGCTCTTCCCTTTAGATCCAGATGCTCCTGTGCAGGCCGCAGCTGCTCTGCGGCCGCTTTGGTCAGGGTGCTCGCTCCCTGGGCACTGAGACGTCTGTCCGACCCTCAGAAGCCTGGCTGTTCTCATCCCGCCTGTGCCCTGGGCCTGAGCCGGGCCAGGGTTGTGGCTGTGCCCCGACGTTGCCTTTCACAGAGGTGCTGGGCACTAAGGGCAGCTGCTCTGCACCACCTAGCCCAGCCTTGGCCGCGTGCCGGGGCCCTTCCCTGCTCCCGCAGAGGATCCTACCTGGGTGCCCACCACTTACAGGAGAGGTCAAGGGCCCTCACCTCCTGCCATGGACCTGCAGCCCACATGGATGCCAGCTGTGGCTGCAGACATCCATGGGAAGGGCCTTGGGAGAGGTGGATGGGAGGACGGGATGGTGACAGTGTCCACTTTATCATCCTGGGCCTCTGGGAGCCAGGGTCATGGAGGTGCACACTGAGACCCCAGCTGACCCCTGTGGGCCAACACCCCAGCCTGACCCTCTTTGCCGGGACCTATGAGCTCCTGAGTCCCAACCCCCCAGTTAGGCTCTCTGAAGGGTAAGACCAATGTGGTGTCCTGCTCCGCCTTCCACCCTCATGACACCAAGGCAAAAGGGGCTTCGGGAGCCACCCTTCTCCCTCCTCAGCCCACACCAGTGGGCCTCAGTTACCCTCTGTGCTTTGGCTGTGGGTTCCCAGGAAACTGGTACTGCCTTTGGTCTGCTGTTTGTCAAGAGCTGTCCAGGGATGCCTTCCTACCTCACAGGCTCTGAGTTCATCCACTCTGCTCACCAGCAGTGTGTGCAGTGCAGGCCGGAGGACCAGGGGTAGGTGTGCTGGCTCCCCTGGGGTGAAAGGACTCCCTGTCCCCCACCAGGCCCGCCTCCAGCTGTCCTTGG